TAATACTCCTTTAACAACGGGATCGTTAATTAAACTCGATAAACTCACAAATCTTTCAGCGATTCATCAATCATCACTAACACAAATGTACTTTGTTTTAAAAACATTGAGGAATTTGTTATTAAAATAGTATTTAAGTAATTGCATTTGAAAAGAACATTATAAAATGCATAATATCAAAAGACGAATTAAAAAAAGGTGAACCGAGTTCGACCCTTGACAAAAGCCCCACCCGCCCGACCACCGCCGCCCCGCTTCATTGTTCTGTCGGGGGTTCCCGTAACTCAGTCGCATAAAATAAATTACAACTCCTAACGGAGCTCAGTCGCCGCCGACCCTTTGCGCTGGAGTGTTGTTGCGCATCGCCGCCGACGCACCGCTGCAAAGCGCCTTTTTTGTCGATTTTTGTTTTGTTCTAGTGCACTTTTAATTGAATTTTTGTTAATAAGAATACTACAGTGTTCGTCTTGAGTGTTAAGTGTAGTTTAGTAAAGATTGTGTTTAGTTTTGTGTGAAATGTGATGTGTTTTGCGCATGCATGCACCGGCATGCAAAAAACGTGCTTAGCTCAGTCTTCAGAGAGGAAATGGACATTTTCAGCATCGACTATCATCAAGATATCGGTAAATAAGTAAATTAAATTAATGTATTTCGCGGTCCATTGTTATCTGCGCACAATCGATATTGCGCATGCGCGTTATGGGGCTCTCAACACATAGAAATTAAAAAATTTTTACTCTATTTTTACTCCTTCTTTATTTTGAAATATTTGGTCAAATAAAATGATGTTTGCATGTAACCTGACTTGAAACTTTCGGCTGTGTCGGTCATTTTGTGGCTCCCGGTATATCATTTTAAATTATATTGTTATTTATATTACCTACATTTGATTATAATGTCTGTGATAAAAAATTATCATCATTTTTTTTTTGCATTACTCTACTGGATTATTGTTAGTACTAATAATATGACCTTAGAATTTATAACACATATTTTTAGTAATTTGTGTTTTATATGATGATTATTGGATTGTTATAAATATTGTCAATTTTGGTCGGTGTTATATCGCGACTACTCTTGATGTAAATTGCTATGATATTTGATTATTTCCTGTGATACGAATAAGAATTGTTTATATTTTATATCCATTTATTTTATAACAGACATTGTTACGTTAGAATGGCTAAGGATTAATATACTTTAATTACTTGATCATTATTATTTTATTATTTTAATGTCATAAAAGATACCGATTTAATCATTGAAATTAAAAATATTGTATACACTTATTTTCTTTTGTATGTAAACTTCAGACAGAATATAGTATGATTAAAACAGCTATTTTTAATTTAAAAATATTTTTTGCTAAGCCGTTATATTAAGAGTAACTTCACTAAGGCTAATTATTTATTAAAACACATTTTAATATTTGTGTTTTATATAACGATTGTTCAATTATAATAAACATCCTTTTTATACAACGTCATTTTGTCACTAGGGTAAAGCTATTATTAAATTGTAATCATATTTGATTATTTCCTGTGATACTAATAATAATTGGTTTTATCTTCCATTCATATATTCTAGAATAAAGATAATATCGACAGTGGAAAGACAAAATTGCTAACACGCTACAATGGCACTTTTGGGAAATGAATTCTAAAGTTTTTCTTTTTACAAATAAATTTATAAATTCTTTGTTTTTAATCTAATGAAGTTCATTTTTATATATAATGATTATATAAGTGATTTTTTATCTAAATTTAGAATATCTTTGCAGATTAATAACTATTTTAACAAGTGAAATACATGTCGCTTTAGCAAAAACGTCTCGGCTTACTACTTACTATGGTTCTGGAAAACATGCTTAAGTGATATAGATGAATCAGGTCAATCGAGCCGAAATTGCTAATGGAGAATTTCAACTTATTATTGAAAACTCAATAATTACTAAGCAGCAATATATACATACAATGTCGGCAGCAAATATAGCTAACCTTATGAACTTAATAAATTGTAGTGAGGCAAAAAATCTTAAAGGCCTTTTATAATAATAATAATAATAATAAATGTTTATTTGCGAGAATATGGTACACATGATGTTACACAGTTATTAACAATAGTTTCTCATATTCTACAGTATATGAACAGTGTGCAAATATTTTTATTTTTAAATGTCATTATATAAAAACAGAGAATAATGTTTCAGTTAAGACGATGTTAATAATTAATAATTAACCATTCAATCATAATAATCCATTTACAATTATCATTACTAATGTCAAATTAAATGTCATCTAAATTTAAATTTAATTACCAATTTTATCCATTAGGAAGTCATTAATATTATAATACAATTTATTTATTAAATATTCATGCAGATGTTTTTAGAATTTCGTCAAAGTTATGTCAGTGAGGTGTTTTGGCAGCTTATTATAAATACGTATAGCCATACAAAAAGCATTTTTGGAATAAAGAGTCAATCTTTGTGGTGGTACACACAATTTATCTTTATATCTACCCCTATAATTACAGCTATTACCATTCACTTCAAACAGAACCATATTCCACTTTACAAATTTTGCTATTTCAAAAATATATAGACAAGGCAAAGGAAGAATATTCAAATTTTTAAAAAGTGGCTTACACGAGTCCAAAAATCCAGCACCACATATAGATCTTATACATTTTTTTTGTAACTTAAAGACTTTGTCACTATCGACGGAGTTTCCCCATAAAATAATGCCATACCGTAACAATGATGCTACATATCCATGATAGCCTGTTATAGCTGCAGTTTTAGATACAGTTTTTCTTATTCTTCTTAGCACAAATACAAATCTGTCAAGTTTAAGCATCGTTGAGTCTATATGTATTTTCCAGTTACATTGATCATCAATTGTTGTACCCAGAAATTTTGTCATAATTGCTTCATTGATTTTTTCCAAGTTATAATTAATATCCATACTATTGTTGTTAATGTTACGATTATTAATATTACGTGTTTTAAATAATATATATTTAGTCTTATCTAAATTTACTTTTAAATTATTTACGTGTAACCATTCCATTATCTTATAAAGGGATTTATTTGTAACTTCACTCATCTCATTAATATTTCGACATTTTACAATAAGTGTTGTATCATCGGCAAATAGTATACATTTATGTTCCGTCATATCTGGGAAGGTCATTTATGTAGATAAGAAAGAGTAAAGGGCCCAGCACACTTCCTTGTGGCACTCCTGTCTTATTTACGCGGTAAGTGGATTGGTATACCACTTTTCTATTTTTTTCAATATTTGAAATCTGTACACATTGTTGCCTATCTTTCAAATAACTTTTTATCCATGACATAGCTATCCCTCTTATCCCATATCTTTCAAGTTTTTTCAATAGGAGAGAATGAGAAACGTAATCGAAAGCCTTACTCATGTCTAGAAATAAAGCGAGAGTATTCATTCCACCGTCAAGACCTTGAGTAACATTTTTTATAAGTTCAAAGCAGGCCAGTGTAGTGGATTTGGATTTCCTAAAACCGAATTGATCATCCTTTAATAACTTGTATGTGTTAAAAAAGTTATAGATTCTATCTGAGATGATTTTCTCAAATACTTTTGATAGTATAGGAATTAAAGTAATAGGCCTATAGTTACTCATCTCCTCTTTCGATCCATTTTTATATAGTGGCTTAATTATTGAGTACTTTAACTTTGATGGGAAGCAACCTTGCACCAGGGACAAATTTATTACATAAACTAAAGGGCGAAGTATGTCATTGTTTGTTTTATAATTTTAGTATTAATGTCATCATATCCCGTCGACGACGTATTTTTAAGGCTCATTATTATATTGTAAACTTCCTTTTCATTTGTTGGTCTTAGATAAATCGAGTTACAGTGAAATGGTATATTACTTAAGGCACTATTGTAATTATTTTTACTGTCAAAGTCGTTGCTATTAGTCAAATTTATCAAATATTTGTTGAATTCATCGCAAATGTCATTTGGATTATTTAAATAATTGTGATTATGTAATTTAATGTTACTTATGTCGATATTAGATTTATTGTATTGGTTTGTATTTTTAATAATATCCCACATTGCTTTACAGACATTATTAGATTTTGAGATATACTTCAGATTAGTATGCTTTTGTGCCTGAGCAATACATCTTTTTAATATTTTTGAGTATCTAATATATTTATTTTTATGATATCTTTTATTTGATGAGGTAAGACGGTATTGTAAATAAAGGCGCCTTTTATTTATGCAACACCTTTTGATTCCTCTTGTGAGCCATTTATTTTTAATTATTTTAGTAGTTTTTTTTACACTAATATACGGGAAACATAAATTATAAAATAGTTTAATGGTTTCGTAAAAACAGTCAAAAGCATTTTCAGCATTTTTTTCTTCCATTACATCATTGAATGAATATGATCTAACACAATAAATAAACTTCATTATATTATCTTTATTTAAATCCCGTATGTTTTCAAACCAATAATTTAATTTCATGTTATTTGTTGAGGAATCATCAAATTCAAATGTAAGGCTTTGGGCAGATTCATGATCTGAAAAACATGAATAATGTATCCCAGTTCTTACAATATTTTTTATGTTACTTGTAATCAAATCTAAACAAGCGCTTTTCCTTGTTGCAGCAACATTAAAAACCATGTACTGAAAGTACATGGTTTTTAATGTTGCTGTTTGTCAAAATACTATTTAAATTTTTACTTTGTGTACTATTTAATAACATGTCTACGTTCCAGTCACCACATAATATAATATTTTTATTTCGCTTCCTCGATAAACGTATTAACAATGTTTCCAACTGTATAATGAACTCATCAATTTTGGCTGTCGGGATCCTATAAATACAGACAATAATTAATTTGTAGTCTGGAATTTCCACAGCGCAGCATTCAAAAGTGTATAACCGTGCCTCCGGAGTTTCCAGCTGTTTATATTCAATATCATTGCTTACCAGAATACAAGAACCACCTCTACATGGATGTCTGCAATAAGTAGCCGCAATTCTGTAGTTGGGTATGACCAAATTATTTTCAGAATTTTTTTTCATAAATGTTTCAGTCAAGCATATGAAATGGATACTTCCTATTTCCCTACTTAGTTCGCCCAGATATAAATTGAGAAGGTCTTGTTTACTTAAAATACTAGCTATGTTCTGATGCAACAAAGTTAATTTCTTTTTAACCGAGAAAAAAAAGATTTATCATAATCTTGGTTTTTAGAATTAGAAAAATAGAAAGTAATTTTTTTTGTACTATTTTTTTCCCTATTTTTATTTCCTGGGATCTAAATTGGGTTGCATATTTTCTACTAAGAAATTCTTTTATTTTATGTGGTTCTAGATATCTAGATTTATATAGAAAATAATCGAGTTCTATATTAATTTTAAAACATAAGTCATTTAAATATAGGGTTCTGTTTGTTTTATAACAATCATTATTCAACTCCAAAAACATGCAATTGTCAAAATTTTGTGTTAGTAATTTTATGTTATAATTAAGTAGTCTTGTATTCAAACATCTATTTAAATATACATTAGTAACATATACCTTAAAATGTCTTAATTTATGTAATGCAATATTCAATTGTGATAACAAAAAATATGGATTCCTATCATTTGCGCCCAAAGACAATATGACTATATCATTCGCACTCAATGAATGTTTTAACTCATCACAACTGCTTAAGACTTGAGAACAGGATGCGCCTTGCTTCACCATTATTGTAATTGTATATGGGTCGTCGTGCAAGTGTTTACGGGATTTACAGAGTTTTTCAGACAGTAATTTGATATGTTCATCGCCTAAAATAAAAACTTTCGTTTTTTTCTTGTGACTGTTAATATCTTCTTTTTTATCGATGTCTATAACACTTGCAAAACCGCACACTCCATCCATGTCGGTGATTTTAAAAAGTTTTGTGTAGTACTACTATTCGTTGCGTTTACAAGGCATGAGCGTGCGCTGCTTACGCCTATGAAGGCGTAAGCAGCGCACGCTCATGCCATCAAGATTTAATTTTGTTTTAGCCGGTAATCTTTTTGATAATGGGGTGTTACATATAATCGAATTATTTATGCGTGCACCGGACGTTCTTTGTATGTGTGTAATGTTCAAATTATACACATACAAAGAATAATTTTTTCTTCGAAGTGGTGTCATAGTGCTAGTGCTTTTTTTTTGTCCAATATTTAAGGTTTGTTGTTTAAGTACTTCTATTTCACTTTGCTTTCCCTCTAAAGTGTTTTTTAAATATGTTATTTCGCTATTTAATTGTTCTATTTCTTGTTCAGCTATTTCCAAAGAATGTTTCAATGAATTGACTTCTTGTATACACGCTTCATGACAAGATATATTGTTATTGCAAGTATCACTTTGAATACTTAACATAGTAGTATCCATAATTGTGGAATTCAGCATACTTTTTTCATATATAGATAGATCTATTTCCGATTTAGATCTTGGTATTTTGTGTCGAATTGTTATGTTGTCCATTTTAATGTTAATTTTTAATCCTAGATGTCTCTAGTGTGTCGTACTGCTTTGTCGACTTAAGAGATGTCAACTCCACCAAATTCTTATTCTAGCATAACACTGTTTTATCGACGTCAGTCAGCTGATTTTTGTTTTCACAGCTGATTCGAATTTTAACGAATATCTACTTACTAAATTTGTGTTTAATCATATGAGAATGCTTTAAAGACCTCATATATCACAGTTAAACTATAACTGCTTTATATTCTTCCAAAGTAGATGTGGAATATTCGTTTTATAGTAATTATAGTAAAGTTATGCTCACCGTTTCGTGATTGAATCTGGTCACTATTATTTTTCTTATTAGTCTATAAATTCTGGTTCGATCGTACTAATAACAATGCCACAGCATATTTATACTGTTATAAGATTTTTTGTAAATTTATAGGATTCACTATGCACTTTAACTAGATTTATTTATAATTTGTTTACGATCACTGTTCTTGTTGTTATGATTCTTAATCTCCTTTACTTCGAATAATAATCACTTTTACTATATACATATATCACTTTTACAATATTAATCACTTTTACTTCGAATAATACAATAACAAAAGATCTAAATGTATGAACTAAGTAGCAATTTTGAATGGTAAAAAATGCTATTAACAATAAATAACAAAAATAAAAACTAGTATTGCAAATCAACATAAGTATATTTATTCAATTAAGTTTTTTGTAGTTACAAAAATATTGGAACAAAACAAATCGAAAATCAGATAATTTGGTATCAGTTAGATTGTCACATTAAATAATCTTTATTCAGATTTTTTTAGGAATTTTATGAACTAAAAATAATCACAATCTTTGCATAATTAAGTTAACAAAAAATAATATAAACTTTCTTTCATAACAATCACTGATAAATTATTTTCTTACACATTAATGAACCATCGAATGACATCTTATTTCAACAAATATTCATTATTGAATACAATTACAACAGAAAATTTAATGAAAATGCTAGCCTCAAGATATTAATAATTAATAAACAAATCAATGATAATTATTTAAATAACTCTAAAATTTTAATTTAGTCTTCCACAGTATCTTCTACGTCTGTATCAGGTAGACAGTCTTGTATATTGGCAGCTTGCGGTAAAGATTCGTATTCTGGAATATACATTGCAGGAATAGTTCTATTCTTACATAATTTTTCCAAATCATTATATTTCTTTTTGGAAATAGGAAGTCTGGTTTTATAAATTTTTTTGGGCATGAGGTCGATTTTTCCGATAATATCGATATACTCTGATTTTGCTTTATCACACATAGAGTATTTGACCTCCATGCGAGTGAGATTATTTTTTTTAAAGGTAGTAATCCGAATCTTACTTATTTTACCCGTAAGGTTGCCTTTGAAGTATTTTTCGGATACTGTGTCCCATCCTTTGAAATCTTTGTAACATAAAACTTCAACTTCGTAGGGTTTTGGGGCTTTTCGTGCTAGGGAACAGACAGTCGGCCATTGGGATGGTGCCCATATGATGGTATTTGTAACACTTTTTTCAATGACCGAATGCATTGAGTCTACCGGCATGAAGGTGTGCCCAGGTAGAAGATAGTTAATCTGTATTGTCATAATATTTTTACATAGATTGAGAATTTTGGAAATGCAGGCCAAAATAATTTTGTTTTTGTTTTGCCCTGGGCAAGCATCACAATATAGTAGTAAATGTTTTATAGTTTTTCTTTCATCTACGATTTTGATGTATTTTGCTAAAATGGTGCAAATTTCATTTGCTCCTCGCTTGCCCTCTACCTCATTCCATAGAAAGCAGAACCCTTCTCTGGTTACGGATTCGTAGAATGTTAAGTTATATGTTGCAATCTTCCTGCTATAATAGAGCAACATGCTTTCACTATATGGAGTGTTAAGCACTTTTTGTAAATCGAATGTTGAACATAAGACACTACTATCATGATTATGAAGATCTTGATGAACCTGGAATCTCGAATACGTTTCTTCCTTGTCTTGTAAGTGATTAGTTTTTTCTTCTTTAAATTCTTCCGAGCTGTTTTCATACTTAATACACTTTACACATTTGTCCTCCCGGGGAACATGAAATGAAATATTGAATTCTGTGTTAAATATATTTTCACCAACATATTCTTTCCCCGCATCTATATTCTGTAACTTATAAAGTTTGTATAAATTTGTTAAATTTTTGTACTCTTGTGGCAAATAAACTCTATTTGAATTCTTCCTACAGTAATGAGAAGGAACAGCTGGTAACTCTTGAAGATATTCCCTTACGTAGTTTATCAATGACGGAGGAGTTTTATTTGCTGGTACTCCTCTGCCTCTTTTGTCACTTTTAGAGCTTCCATATTCCGAGTTACTAACTAGTAGATGAACATTCCTTTGTCGAACATCTAATGTATTCATGAAGAAATTCATGCACACGGGTCTTTGGCCCTCTCCATCGTTAATGCAATATCTGTATGTAAATTGCCTTCGGCTTTCTATATCTTTGGTGCGCTTTCGCTTCTATCCAATCACGTTGTCTTTCAATACTCAAACTCCAATAGTGATCAAAAATAGTTTTTCTTCTCTCTTCTGATATAGTATAACATTCATTAGGACATTTACCATTAGGCTTACATGGATTTTCTTTTAGAGATCTAGCGTCTACTACCTTTCCTTTCATTGTAATATATCGTTTCCCGGATCTTTTCAAAAAACTTCGGTCTTTACGTTTATTAAATTTCTTTTGTTTCTTTCTAATGTCATTTGTATTTATCTCTTTTTCTTTGTCTAAATTTTCTATTGACGTCAAGTCAATGGTTGTCTTTGTTTCCTTTTTCAGCTTTTTTCATGTTTTTCTTTTGGATTTTAATTTTTCTATTAGCATTTGATATGTTAGAGCTGTCACTTTCATCTGATTCGTCCCAAGAAGAAGAATACAAAGTAAACATTTCGTCGTCTGACAAAAAATCTATATGCTTAATTATTCGTTCCTGTTCTCTTCTCAAGCCGGGTTTGAATATTTTCGGTATTTTCCTTACTACATCCAGGTTTTTCATGAAAATCGTCAGCTTTTTTGTGTTTGATTTCATGTAACTTATTACTCTTTTTGGATTTCCCTTTGCGACTTAGATATTTCCTTTTTGTAGTACTATTTTTTTTCTGATTTTTTTTGCCTTCTTCATATGTTTTTGTTTATAACTTAAACAAAATTTTTTATAACTTAAACAACTTTTATTTTTAAAACTCAGATTTTACAATTTTTACGTACACAATTGACGCCATGTTATAGTGGAAGAGAAAAAATATATTGTGCCACAGATCAAGTACTGAATAATATAGACACCGAGATGTCACCCTAGACAAAGAATAATTAACTTTAACATTCTCCCCACCAAAGGACATATAGTCCTTTTAAAACCAAGGAACAATATATTTTTACTCGGTTATAAACACATACACTAATAAAAGTGCATTAAGGATATTAATTAATGTTTACATATACTAATCACTTTCAGTTGGCAATAAACAGAGTTTATGAATTGGTCTTTTAATAATATTATTTTTACATTTGAGACTTACAACTCGTACTAATCCATCACTACCTGGATGTGTCTCTACAACTCTAGCTATAAGCCATTTAGATACTGGAAGTCTATTGTCCTTTACAAGTACAATATTTCCTACTTCAAGATTAGGTTTATTACTAACCCATTTGTTACGATTTTGTAAAGTTACTAAATAATCATGGCTCCATTTATGCCATAAAGATTGAACTTTCTCTTGAAGGTAAGTCCACCTTTGTAAATAAGGTATTTTAACATTTTCAATATCCCTCTCAGGCACTGTAATCATTGTTTCACCAACGAGAAAGTGACCTGGGGTCAAAACCTCTAAAGAATCATCATTTATAGGAACTAATGGTCGAGAGTTTAAACAACATTCAATTTGACAAAGCAAAGTGGAGTACTCTTCATAAGTTAGTTTAGTGTCATTAAGGACTCTGTTTAAGTGAAATTTGACTGATTTGACAGCAGCCTCCCATTTGCCTCCCATGTGAGGTGCTCCAGCAGGATTGAACCTCCATTCTGTGCCATTCCGAGCTGGTAAATCAAATATTTCAGAAGGCAAGTCAATCCTACTCTCTTTTAACATCTGTTTCAAGTCCCTATTGGCACCAACAAAATTTGTACCACAGTCACTGATAAGCTGATGACAGTGGCCTCTACGAGCAGTAAAACGTCTAAAAGCAGCAATGAAACTTTCAGAACTAAGACTTGTCACTAATTCTAAGTGCACAGCTTTAACTGATCAGCAGATAAATACAGCAATATAAGCCTTCTGGGTTTTATTTGAACCTCTACCTTTAAACAATTTAAGTATAACAGGACCTGCAAAGTCTACACCTGTGACACTAAATGGACGTTGAGGGTTAATACGTTCTTTAGGCAAATTACCCATTTGTTGAGAGCTTAAGTTTGCTGCATTTTTAACACA